GGGGCAGATGTTCTCTGCTCCCAAGGAAGCACCCAAAGAGCCTGGAGGAGAGACACCTCGTTCTCCCACCGCCTCACTCTGGAGCTGAGAACCAAGCTGGAGAGTTCTTGCCCAGGATCTGTGTGATAAAAAAACCTAGAGGGTAGGGATCAGAAAGGCTACTACGTAAGCAGCTGCTTGAGTAAAGGATGGGGGGGGTGGTTTGGAGGAAGATCCAAACATCCTGATGGAGAATGCCAGTCCGGGTTTTTTCAACGACCTCTCCACTGGTTATTTACCATAAGCACAGAGGCAGCAGGGTCAGGGCTTACTAGCCACTCTCCGTTTCTCCTCTATCCCTACGGCCACAGGAGTGGGTTCTATATGTGCAGGACCTGCATCCCCAGGAATCAGCTTTCCCAGGGCCAGACAGGGCTGTTTGGGGGGAGAATGGAAAGTGCCACAACCAATGTTCCCATTAAGCTGTGAAGTCTTGTGAGCAAAAATTCTGCTTTGTGAGCTACTGGCATTAAAGTGGTGAGCGAGCGATTTGGCTACTGCATGAATTAGTTTGCTCTGGAGCCCTCCTTCCTGAGCCGAGACAAAAATGTGTGAGCCGGAGGCTAAAGAACTGTGAGCTAGCTCACACTAACTCAGCTTAGAGGGAACGCTGGCCACAACACTCCACTGCCCGCCCCCGTCACTGGCTCCAACCCTAAGTTTCATTTTGCTTTCTATTCTGCTCAGCCAGAGAGCACAAAAGCGGCTTCTTGCTTTCTCAGCTGTACGTGGGAGGTTCTATAGTCCCCTGCAGGGTTCATAAACACAGCAGGCTCTCTGCTGTCCACTGTGGCTTTTACAGCACTGGCGTGGAGAACCACCTGTCTCAGACCCAGTTACGTTTCAAGGGCGCTCTTGCAATTGGCCACCCACCCACAGTGGGGAAGCCCCTGGGGACGCAGAGATCACAAAAGCATCCAGAAGCCCCTGGTGAGATAATGTCCAGGACAGTTAAGGAATCAGCAGAGTTTTAGCCTCATGGGACTTTTGACAGTGCTGAACAGAGAGAGACTTACCCAAGCACCTGCTCTCCAGACAGAATAAAATAATGTCTGTGAATATAGCTTGTTGACTCCAACAGCGAAGACTTGGCAGAATTCAGAATCTGAACCAACAGAGGGCCACAGACAACAAAAGAGGCTTCTGGGCACTTTTTTCAGGATTTCTCCTGTGAAGTTTCTCAGAAACCAAAGGGGGGAACCACACCGAGCAGAGTGCAGAGAATGCTCTGTAGGAAGAACAGGCCCTCTTCGGGTGCTCTCCACAAACTTGAACCACATCCAATTGTCACTTGGTCCATAACTTTATTGGACTAAGTTAATTGAAAACAGACGTGGAAGCTAGTAAGAAAAACGATTGGCTTAAATTATTGCATATTTTTTTCATCTCTAATTATAAATACATAATTTGTAAGAAAAGCCATTTGCATAACCAAAAAAAAAAAAAAAAGACATTTAGCACATTCTTCAAAAGGACAACAGAAATACACTCTAGAGAGGTGGGAGGACTTCCTTCCGCTAAACTGAAAAGTGCATCATAACCCACCAACTTTTCACGGTGCTACCTGGGTGGTGGACGTGTGCTGCTGTCACCTGTGCAAAGCAGATCATTTATTACAGTACTAACAAGCTGTCGAATCAGAGGAGAGACCAGAGGAA